TGCTGCACTACTTTGTCTCTATAATACTATGGGGAAGAATTTGTGCCCTCTGCACTTTTTTTCAAAATGTAACAGCACTTTGTTTCCCTCATATACTGTAGTGGAAAATTTTGGAGGGAATTGAAGTTGGTGAACTTGGCATTTTGATAGCAAAACTCCAAAATAAAATCCACCATTTCAAGCCATTATATGCATGCTCAATGGTATGTGACCACAAATTTGCCAAATTAAAATTTGCCAATTACAAAAATATAGTAATTTGCCGAATTCAACTCCCTCCAAAATTTCCTGCAATATGGGATAGCTACGCAACATTTATCTGGTCACCTTTAGCATTCCACCATGCATTTTGCAAGTATAATTAGCTACATAGACCAATACAACAACTTTGAACATTAAATAACATACATTTGTTAACTTGTTTGTAATAATCATTGTAGTTGGGTAACATATTCTGATACATTGCATGATGATTTTCATGTCATAGATGGGAATGGCATGTAAAATATGTTTTTGAGACATTCAATCATGTGTTGTCTCATGTGTGACTGATCGAATATATTGTTAGCAGGATCATTTCCATAAAGAATAGATACTGCGTATGCTACTGCAAAGCAGGCACATTCCTTATCACCTTTTGCTTCACCAACCACGGTACTTTTACCATAGCAGATCCATAGAGGGCAATGAGCTGCTTCTTTAACTCTGAGTGAATGATCTCTGTGTAGAAGGAGTCATAAAGAAAAGCAATGCCATCGATAAAATGACTAGTAACCCAATGGTCCCCAAAGTTGTGGAAAAATAATGAATCATTTGTAGCCAGCTGAATGAGACTTAGTTTCTGAGTATACAAACACGACTGAATCATTGGCATGTCTGGGAATTGTTTTGACAGTAGTTTAGCAGTAGCTATGACATGCTTGTCTGAAAGGTGATGGGTTCCTTCTAGCTGTAAACAATCATTTTCCTGAAGATTTAATTCTTTTATCCAGTAGTTTACAGGACTAGCTGGTATCTCGTCAATGATGATGAGCAAAAGCATACCTGTATATGGGTATAACATAAAATTGATGGCACACGGTAATAAAAATGATATACATGTACCTACAAACATCTTGAAATTTTGATAACTGCAGTTTTTTCTCATCATATGACTTACACAATGTATCTTTACCCCAAAATAAAGCATGCTAGAGGTTATCTTCACAAAAACAAGACCTGTACCAAAATTATGTTGCATCACATAAATTTCATAGCATTCAATACCCTTTGCCTTTCTGCCATGTCTTCCAGCCCTTCCAAACTGTTGGACTAATTCGTCAAATGTGCTGTATGTGAGCAACCAAGTTTAACAACCAAGTCTATATTAGGAACATCTATACCCATTCCAGGTGCAGAAGTGCACACCATTAGCTATAAATATACATAAATTTGTTATCATACACAGAATTAATGCTTGATACACTTGCTTGTGTGTCAGAGTCATCAAAACACTGATCCTCAATTATCTACAAT